CCATAGACTTCAATGCCATAAACATATTTCATCCAGTTTTTCTCAGTCTTACCCCCACCCCAATGCCAGCCTCATTCTACAACAGTGGCACCATGTAGCATTTGTCCCTTTGTGACTGAGATACCTCATCTTGTTCATTTTTTATAATGCTGTTTAGCATTATAATTTCAATGTTGACAGATTTTAAGTAGTATATAATAGTGTTAGTGAGCTCTGGTAGCCTGTTGATAAGAAACTGTGCTGCAATCACAAAGGCACATGTGGTTTTGAATCCACTGCTTGCTCTGCAGTAGAATGATTTGCAATCTCTTCCCGAGCCATTTAGTGTCTCAGAAAACCCTAGGAGGGTCAGCTATGAGCTGGTTCCAACTTGACAGCACACAACAACATAATAGCATTGCTTACGATAGAAAACATCCATGGTTTCTTTGTATTCATAGAAAACTTTTTTTTTTTGGTCTGCTCACACATATTATCTGCCTCCCTTCTTTGTAGCAACAGGTAATTCAGTCTCAGCTGGCCAGCTATTATGTGGAGGTCTGTTTTCTACTGATTCACTTTCAAACTGGTGTGCTGCTGTGGCCCTTGCCCATGCTTTGCAAGAAAATGCTACTCAGAAAGAACAGTTGCTCAGAGTTCAGCTTGCTACAAGTATCGGCAACCCTCCAGTGTCTTTACTGCAGCAGTGCACCAACATCCTTTCACAGGTACAGTATTATTAACAGCTTCAAAATGAATTCTAGTGAAAAAAGGAGTTGAATTATTATTTAAAATTCTTTTTTTTAGTGAACATTTGTCTTTGATATATCATTTATCTTTAGTGATTAAGAAAATGACCTCAAAATAGTCATTTAAGTCAACCCTCTCCTCACTTAGTAATATGGCTACACCCCAAAGTCAAAATCAGTATGCAAAAATTTTATTTATAAATGGAAAAAGTTTTCCTTTTTGTGTTCAGACCACCATTTGTCTGGGCTTTTTTTAAAAAAATGATCATAAAAATAATAATAGTGAAGGTTTACTGATCTACTCATCATTGTGAAAAGTACATCTTTGTAGAAGAAGGCATAGAGGAGACAGAACTGGGTAAAAACCAGACTGTGATGGAGAGCCAATGGCTTAACTCCTCAACCTTTCTTATGTGCTGAGTCAAAGCTTTTCTGGAGGGGTTACCTTCAGTACTCCATTCCCATTCCTGCAAGCCTTGCATTCTTGTTCCCTAGAGCCTCTGAAACTGGCATGTCACCAAGGCTAGAACATCCATTGAGGGACTCCGAACCCCACTAAGAGAGAGGTTTCATGCCCACTTCAGCTCACTTTGAATTGTTAATAAATCTACACATATTTCCTCCAAACACCTTCTTCAAGTCCTTTTTCTTCTCCAGCCATTTTGAGCTGAAAGTCTCTGGCCACATAAGATTAAGACACACAAATCAGGGGCCCTTTCTTTAGAGAAGGTGACAAGCCCTGAGTGGAAGTTGAATAAGACATTCCCACTGGCAGGAAGAGGAGGTCAATTCTGTCTAGCTTCCCAGGAACCTCTCAGGTTTTATCTGCCTTGATAAGTAGCAAATACTCAGTAGACATTGTCCCATGTAATATGCATAATGTTGGATAATGGGATAGTTGAAAACAAGGAGTAGATCTGTCTAAAAATTTAGCTCTTGTCCCTTTATAGTTTCTATATATACATGTATTTGTATGTGTGTGTGTGTGTGTGTGTGTGTGTGTGTGTGTATAAACATTAGAGCTATTTTGTCCCAAATTACTGGTTTGTTTGTAAAAAGATTGCCAAAAAAAATTTGAGGGATTTCCACCCCCTAGATTTATGTTTTTCTAAAATAGTAATATTTATGAGTAATTTTTAATATATAATTTGCAGGGTGATAAGATCAACAGACGGGTATGTATCACCTGAATAAGCTTAGACATTTTTCTCTTACAACCCAATCTTTGTCTCTGTCTTTGGTTTTTTTAACTGCTTGTTTGAAGTTATAGTCTACTTAACACTTCCTTGTGTCAGTAAGTGTATTTCTCTCATAGGGGCCTTTCTTGTTTTTCTTCATGGGATATCATAATGGTGTTTCTTCTAAGGCTTTGGGACTAGGATTCTGAAGCTGTACTTGTGCTTCTTCTTGGTGTGCTTGCACTTCTGGAATGTTTCGGTTTTGGGGTTTTTTTGTGTGTTCTTGTCCCAAACTTGCTGCTTTATTTCTTCTGAAGTCTTTTTTAAAGGATGTTAAATTTTAAGTTAAAAGCTTGCCAAAAAACACCCATTTGCCTTTAGTCAGTCTGTATGTGAAAGAATGTCTTTTTTGCTTAGATAATTTTAAATGTACAATAATAAGTATAATTTTATAGTTTTAAATGTGTTATATTAAATATTATGGGTTATTCTAGATATAGCCCATCTGTTACTTCTTCAATGAAAGAGCTGTGTGGTGTTATTTGTGTTTGCTTTGGAATATTTTTTGTTGGGTGTATTCTGCCACCTTTTGTTTGTTGAAATGTTTGACAAAGAAGAGTGTGCTTTGATATCCATGCTTGAGCATGTGTTTTAATGCACAGAGTGAGTAGTAAAAACTAAGCTTTCGTTAGCTTTGTATTTTTTGTGTATGAGCATGATTTAACACAGTATTAATTGCAGCTTTATCTGAGGACTTATTATATTAAAGTATTTTATAAGTGTACTTGTCAATCATTTTAACAATAAATGTTTGGAAATATAGTTTACCCAGAATAAAATGAGGACCATTTGTGTTGAAGCTAATGAATTGTGATACTTGAATATATTTCCTTAACCAGTGCCCAAAACAAGATACAGAAAGTTTTCACAATACCAAAATATGCCCCCTTCTTATTAATTCCCTGTCCCCAGAGACAATCAATTAAGCGTAAATCTGATCGTTATACTCTAAACCTCATTTTAATACTTGAACATTATTTCCTCTTTGGACTAGTTCCATCTAATAAGGGGTCCAGAGTAGATAAAACAAAGTCTTGCCATTCTTCATCTAAGGAACATTTTGACAGATTTGCTTGTTCTTCAGGCACTCCATGTTGTTGTTGTTGTTATGTGCCGTCGAGTTGTTTCTGACTCATAGCGACCCTATGCACAACAGCCCTAAACCCTGCTCTATCCTGCGCC